CGAACCTCTTCACCAACGAATGGGATCTCGTGCTCACCCCTGAAAAGACGCATCGCCAGAGTGTCTCTCGCGTGTAACGCCGCTGTTAGATCGCGATCTGTTACATGCGATCCGCTCGACTCGTACAAACTAAAAACGGCGCATTGCGGGAGACACGAAAGAGAGATAGAGATGGAGAGAGAGAAAAAGAGAGAGAGAGGGGGGAGGGGGGGAGAGAGAGAGAGAGAGAGAGAGAGAGAGAGAGAGAGAGAGAGAGAGAGAAGGACACACAGATACGACGGATATATATGTATATATATTTTTTCCTTCTCTTCTCCCTCCCCCCCGCCCCGTCATTGCGAATGCGTGAAACGCGCGAATTACCGGCGCTGCATCCTTAAAACGTATATAACCATAACTCGGCCGCGTCGTCGTAGCCGCCGCCCGTCACCGGCACGTTATGCGGCAAATTAACATGGAAGAAGCGACGTTAGCGTCGCAATGGAATAATAAAGACGAGCCGAGCCGAGACTCCGCGTGCGAGAAACAGACGGACCATTCCGCATTCGTGCGCCGTATTCGCTCGCTCGTACGCGCCGCTATTCAGAATAAATCCTATCGGAGACTCCGCCGAGGCGCTGTGCCTCAGGGAAATGGATACTAATCCCGGGGATTCCGATCCGGGAAATCTAAAGGCGGATCAGGATTCGGAAGGAGGGCGAGAGATAGATAGATGGATGAATAGAGAGAGAGAGAGCAATGCGTGGGCGTCGTTCCAACGACCTTGAGGATACCACATCCGATCTGATGTTGGATCGGAATAACGCCGGCCCGGATTTGCACGGCCGTTATGGCGACCGTAATTGCGGAGCGATTGCCAGGCAGTGACTAAACGTGAGAAACGACGCGAGCACAAGGATAGCCGGAATTTCAGAATTTGCGCACAACTGCCCGGGACTTTGCGAGTCGGCGAGTCGTCGTTGTTAGCACGTGTTACCCCTTCCGACTTTCTCTCCCTTGCTCTCGGGGGAACGCGCTCTCGTATGTCGCCGGACCTTCGCCGCTCGATCCGATTCAATTCGACCGTACGCGAATCTGATTCGTTTTGTCGGCCGATTAATTGCCGGGGGTTCGCGCGTACATTGTGTGTAATTAATTCTTCTCGGGCTGCAGCTCGCGCGAGCTGCGTAAGGAGGAAGCATACGTCGTCGCGTTATCACGATCCGCCGAAACAAACGTTGTTTTGACAAACAACGAAGGTGGCGATAATTACGCTTAATTAAGATCTCCGAGGCCCGATAAGGCGCGACGCGATAAGGCGTAAATATGAAATCGCTCGTAACGTACGATGCATACAATGCAGCGCACGCGGCGGCGGCGGCGGCGGCGGCGGCTTATCGCGCATCGATTGTTCTACTTACGCGCAAGAAAATCACAGCCGCTGCAACAGCGGCTAATTATTGTGTTTCAGTCGGGCTAAATGCGGAGCAATGAATCATAAATTAATCTCGACGGCTGATCGGCGCGCTAAAATCAACAACACCGGAGGAAATTTCCCAGCTATTTTCCTTCGTGCCGCTCAGTCCTTACCGGGAATTTTCGCTCCCCCGTTCGAAGCGAAGAAAGGAGCCGAAAAAGATCGAGGCGACTTGAGACACAAAATTCCGCGCGTGCGTTATCGGCGAAAGAAATCCGACCGGAAATTACCGCGTCGCGTTTTCACGCGACTTTCCCACGCGTGCTTTGTGCTCGCTAACGGCTGTGACATTCGATCGTCATTCCGCGAGCCATGACGTCTTCGCGATCCCGTGACGCGAGCACCTTCGCAACGTGCCGGCGTGATTGCCGGCTTGGCAATCAGTGCGCGGCGAGTGGTGTATTATCAAATCCCGCCGGAGATGGGAGCTTGCATCGTAATGGGCTGGAAGGAAAGGAGGAGGAGGAGGAGGAGGAGAAGGGAAGGCAAGACTCCTCACGCTACCGATCCTCAATCCTCCCCTCGCTCAGCCCTGTCATCGCGAGCGCCGTCGATCCTCCGCGATCTTGAGCGGCCGCGAAAGCGGCGCGCACGCGCCCCCGCCGAACGCGGCGACTCGCCGTGCCCTCGCAGCATCCGCGAGTCGGGCGACAGGAGGGTGAGAGGAGAGGGATGATTTGCGTGGCGCGAAAGGGGGCATAGCGGTGCTCTCGCCGTCCGCGTCGTGCCGCGCGTCGATTTTTCACGTCGACGCACCCGGCCGGCCGAATTACGCAAAGGTCAGCCGCGGCTCCGCGAGGGGATTGCGTAATGCCGTCATTTATCTCGAGATTAAATCGGGGCCGTGCGGGGAGACTCGACTCGGAGGAGGAGGATGAGGTACAGCAGGATGGTCAGCGGCGTGGGTCAGCGCGTGTGGTGGGTCGCGCGCGGCGAAATGCGGTATTCGCGGACGCGCGAGCGCCAAGTGTGCAATCTCGTAATGCGCGGCGGCGGCGACGGCGACGGTCGAAAGAGCGCGTCTGTTAATGAACAACGGGGAAAGAATTTATGCATCGCGCATCGGGCGACGCGCAAATGCGCCGACGAGTGGCCGACGACTGGCAGGTGCATTATTCATGCCGGGCGTTTTGTAAGTCGGATTGCGCCGGCCCGGCTGCTAACTCTCGCGGAGGGTGTGCGTGGAGATCACGTCCGCCCCCGGCTGTCGCCGCCGTCACCGGCGCGGATGCCAGCGCGAGGGCTGCAAAGCCGGAAGACGACACGGCGATATTCTCTCGTGCATTATTTAAGAGCGTCGCGGAGAAGTGAACCGTGCGGGCGCCGTGTCCTGCGAAAGGATACACCAGGAGCGGCCGAGCGGCTATGCCGAGTAGAATCGGCTCGATCTGCGTTGTCGCGACCAGGCGATTTCGCCGCGAGCAGCTGCGATACGGGGACGACGAGGGGGATATATATCGAGAAAGAATATATATGGCGGATAAAAATGGCGGGTACGAGAGAACGAGGGGGCGGAGGGTAACGTCCCTTAGCGGGAAGGAACCTGTCGCGAGGAATGGAAACCATTACGGAAATGTGTGAGGGATGCGCTTTATAAATCTATTCCGCTTCACGCAACGGTTACGTCGCCGAAGGTGTCTCCTCCTGCCGATGCGTTTCCCGGTCGCGTAATCGAGCGTGGCGGGACGTGATCGCGTGCGCGGGCGGCGAGAGGAAGGCGAAAGGAGCCAGGAAGAAGTAAATTTTCCGGAAACAGGAGGTGGATCTAAAATCGTATATTTCCCGAGAGACAAAGCTACCCGATGTACAGAGAGAGAGAGAGAGAGAGAGAGAGAGAGAGAGAGAGAGAGAGAGAGAGAGAGAGAGGGAGAAGAGAGTCAAGCTGCGCGTCCGGGAGGGCCGTGTTTCCTTTCCCACTTTATCAGAACGACACGTACGCGTGCCTGTGCAGTTTTACGACGTCATCGTGTACCAAACTGCCGTATAAATCCCCGTTTTTGGACTCCTGAAAGATTATTTCCCGGCGAGACGTGACGCGGTTCTATAATAACCCTTCGCCGAGTGTCACCAACGGCGAGGACAACGATGACGACGACGACGCCCGTCCTCCCTTATATCGAGATATCCTTGTGACGCGAGCGGGTAATTTTAATCCTGTTCCTTGTACCAAGATTAATTCAGTGGCACGTAAGTGACATTTACGCAACAATCCCTTGCCGCGTCTCCGTGCTCGATATAATTTCTTTCGCCCACGCGCGAAATAAATGTACGCGGCTGTTGTAAATATATCGCGAGTAAACAGGAACCGCCGTAGTTTCGTGCGTTCCCCTCTCGCGGGACGGAACGCAATTTCCAAAGTACTTCGCCGCGAGCGACGGGCCGCCTACGTGCCCATTGAGGTCGCATTTACGTCCCATAAATTTGTTTTATGCATCCGAAATTTCCGCGGGTAGAGCCGTGTAGAGAGCGCGAGTTTTCGTCGCGTGTGCGATGGAAGGTACAAGATGGAGAAAAAGCGGAGAGGGGGTGCAAAGGAGAGAGAGAGAGAGAGAGAGAGAGAGAGAGGGAGGAAGAGGAAAGCGCGCGCCGCAAGAGACGCGGCGTCTCGCGTTAAGTAGTCCAGGAACGAACGGTGGCAGACGCGGCGATAGCGCGTCGAACTTCTCCATTTCCGGAGCGGGCCCGCGGTTAATCACCGCGAGCTATAATCAACGCTCCGCACACCGATATTACACGCGCGTTCTCGCACTCCGCGAGTGCGGTAGTTTCACGACGGCCGGCCGGATCGAAGATGCCGCACACACGGTATCGAGGAGTCCACGCCGGAATAATCCCGCTATTATCGGTCTGAAACTGCGCGAACTCCTCGCGCCCTCGTAGCCGAGAGCGGTTAGCGTGCTTTTCAGTCGACCTGGCCGTCCAATGGGAACTACACGCGCCGCCGGGAGATTGGCCGACTAAGATCAATTCTCGAGCAAATTATTCGATAAACGTTCGTGGCGGCGGCGGCGGCGGCGGCGGCGGCGGCGGTGGCGGTGGCTGCAAGCCGATTGCATCGATGCGGCGATCGATAAGCTGGCCGACCGCGCGAGCTGCGCCGCTGATAATCCGATTTTATCGCGCTTCGGATTTTCCGCTCGCGCTCGCACCGTTGCCCCCGGAATTGGGCCTCCGGCCTCGCCGAGGAGGGACGGGCTCGTTCATCGTCATGGTCGACGTCACAGCGCGCGAACTGCGATATTTCTTCGGGAGCGCTGGTCGTTTCGCAGGATCGGCGCTCGCCGATCTCCAGAGGAATCACCGAGGAATTTCCGGAGGACCGATGCCGAACGCGGCTCTCCGTTTTCTCCGGCCGAGATAAAAACTTTGCGGGAGATGAGCACTCCGCTGGGAATCGAGGGAGGAGAGGTCGTCTCTCGCGTTGCGAAAGAGGCCGACTTGGAAATATCGAGGGCGACCCGGGTTCGATAAACGATGCTTTACGGGCGAGTCGCTTGTCCGAGAACGGAGGTTAGTCGAGGAAAGCTCAGTGCGCTCTCGAGCACTTGGCGTTTTCGCGTTTTACCGAGAGGGACGCGATAAGTCGTTGGCGGTTGCCTGCCGCGATGATAAGCTCGTAAGTAGCACGCGCGCGTAACAACGCATAAAGCGCGTCACTCGGGGCGAACGACACACACGATGACGCTGTTCCCGTGTCACGAGCCTGGCTTTAAAACACGACCGCATCGCGGTGATGCAGTCGCGAGATGAAATCGATAGACACGTCCCTGAACGACGCCACGGTGGAGAAAAGGGGGTAACGCGCGCGGAGCCGCCGTCGACGTCGTCACCCTCCTCGTCTTCGTCTCCCCTCCCCCTCCTTCCCCGATGACGGAATCATCGAGACGACACGCTGATCCCACAGCGACGACGAGGAGAGGACGGGCGGACAAAGAGAGGACGATGTCGGGAAAGATAACGAGACGAGGGATGAGAGACGAGAGTCTCTGTGTGGTTGATATATGCGTGTGTGTGTGTGTGTGTGTGTGTGTGTGTGTTTCCTGAGTGAGCGAGTGTGAGCATGTGTGAGAAAGAAAGGGAGATAGGATAGATAGAGACAGGGCGAGAAAGAGACAAAGAGAACGAGTGGAGGGAGGCACAATGCTGCGGCGCGACAAACAAGGGTGGCGCTAGATACGCTCCTGGACCGGGACCGGAGGTTGTCCCCCCCTCGGCCGTCATCCGTCCGTTTTTCCCTCCGCCTGCTCTCCGCGAGTATCCTACGCGAGATCTCACCCTCGAGACGAGAGATCTCTCGAAATCTCACGTTGCGGATCGCGCGATCGGCGCGGTCGCGCCGTGCGCGACGCGACGCGCCGCGGCGCGAGAGACGGCGGAGACGTATGCACGTATTCTCTGCTACACCCCAAAATCTGATCGATCCATCCGCGCTGCGAGTCTCACGGAGAGCCCCGCCTCCTCGCGGTCCTTACGACGGCACATCGACGGCTCGATCGCGAGCTGTCCGACCTGTCTGTCGTCGTGAATCGAGCACCGCGCGCCTACCCCCTACGAGCAGCGCATCATCCCCCACAGTATCGTCTTCTCTCTCGCCTCAGCCCCTAACCTGGCGCACTTGCACATATCTCTCTCTCTCTCTCTCTCTCTCTCTCTCTCTCTCTCTCTCTCTCGAGGTCGCCATCTGTTTTCTCTCTCTCTCTCTCTCTCTCTCTCTCTCTCTCGTGTCTCGTGAGATGATTCTCGCGACATGACGTCGCTCGTGCGACGGAACGCACGGACGTTTCTTTCCTCTCTTTCTACGACGTCCGATGGAGCGATGACGCGCGCGCGACCCGACATCCCGGGGGCGGCGCGTCGCGTCCGCGCGAAGCTTACCGGTAATGCCTAGTAGGATCCAGCACACGAGGCACAGGACGTAGTAGTTGACGTAGGAGGACCTCCTCATGGTGATCACGACGACAACAACAACGACGACGACAACGACAACGGCGACGTAGCGACTGATCGCGACGAACGGTCCACTGACATCTCATGGAACGGCAACACGCGGCAGCTGGGGCCAGCCGGTGCACCTTCCTCGCGGCGCACCTCCACCTAAACCTCCGTCGTCGTCCGCGCGCTCATCCCCCGGCCGACCGGTGCTACCAGGATTCGCGCATACTCTCCCCGAGAGCGAGCGGCGGCGGCGGCGGCGGCGGTGGCGGTGGCACTCTTCTCCTCGTCCTCGTTGCAACCCCCTTTTCGCGTTCCCTCGTCTCGTTTCGCGCACCTCCTCGTTTGTTCTTCTCCTCCTCTCCTTTATCCGCTTCTCCGGCGACACACTGATATCACATTATCTCGCAGCCGTTGGCTATCTCGCGCGCGAGGATTTCTTCACCGTGACGCAAGCGACAGGCCGAGGGTGCCTCCTCCTCGTTTCTTCTCTAAGTATCCGAGGTGCTATGTCGAAGCTTTCGCGGAGAACTTTCGCACCGTGGCACTCTCCGTATGTATGTATGTGTGTGTATACGTATGTGTGTATGTGTGTGTGTGTGTGTGTGTGTGTATGTGTGTATATATGCGCGTGTGTGTGCGTGTGTGCGTGCGTACCCCGGAAAAGGGGTACCTATAATCGCTTCTTCCTTCTGTGTTGCTCGCGAAGAAGACGTCGAGAGGCAGACGCGCACCGACCGTCGCGAAGGTCACCAAACGGGTCTCTCCTCCGTGCTCTACTTCTTGTCGACGTTCTTTCTCTCAACACCCCCCGTTTGCCCGTTTTTCCTTCTCTTTCTCTCTCGCTCTCTCGCTCTCTCTCTCTCTCTCTCTCTCTCTCTCTCCCCCGTCGCGGCGATGCAACCCCCTCGGACACTACTACTGTCTACTGGCGAGATCGGTCGGGTCGGTAGTACGCGCGATCGGCTTTCCCGTACTCGGCTCGTCCGCGGTTCGTCGTCCCGGGCGAAGCTCTGAAACCGCCGGGCCTCCGGTGGCACTGCCCGCGCCCGCCCGGGGATTCCGCGCAGGCGTGCTCTCTCTCCTCTACTCCGGCGATCAGTCAGCCTCCTCCTTCCTCGAGGCCTTCTGCCTTTTCCGCCTCCACCGCCACCGCCATCGCCACCGCCGCCGCCGCCGCTGCCGCCGCCGCCGCCGCCGCCGCCGCCGCTGCTGCTGCTACTGCCACTGCCGCTTTCCAACCCCCCGCTGCGCTTCGGCCTTACGCGCTCCGCTTTGCTCCGCTCTACACCCGCTCCGAATTTTTCTTTCCGCTCTTCGCGTCGCCTTCGTCTTTCATTCGTTCCTCCATCCCTTCCGCTCCCTGCGTGCACCCCCGGCGCGTTCCTCCATCGTCGTTGTCGTCGTCGTCGTCGGCGACGGTACTCGCGGACTACTCGTCTCGCCGCGAACGAATTTCACGCTTCTTACGCGGCACCGCCGTCTCCGTTCCGCGCCACTCGCCCCCGCACAGGGGTGGTTGAACGGCGCGGAGTCGGATTCGCGCCCCGTTCGCCAGCGTGCTGCGTGCTTTCGACGTGGAACTTTAAACGTCGTGAATTTCGCTCGCCCGCGCGCGTGCGAGCCTTCTCTCTCTCTCTCTCTCTCTCTCTCTCTCTCTCTCTCTCTCTCCCCCCCCTCTCTCGCTGTTCCTCGGCGCCGTCGCGCGCGCGATCATCCACTCGCGTTAATGATCGTTAAAGAGCTCCGAAGCGCTTTAACGGCTCCGTTACCTTTATCTCTGTACGGCGTTTTCTCTCCTCCGAGTTTCTCCGGGCAATTTCGAATATCACACGGTTCTCTTGCTCTCATCTTCCTCCCAGGCGCACACTCAGGCCTCCCAGGCGCCCTCCCTCCCTTTCTCTCTCTCTCTCTCTCTCTCTCTCTCTCTCTCTCTCTCTCTCTCTCTCTCTTTCTTTCTCTACTCTACTCTCTCCCTCTCTCTGTCGAGCGCGCCATAACGCGCAGATTTCAACCGCAGCGGTCTCATCTAAATGAATTCTCCCGAGTCCCTTCCGGGTTCTCTCGGGTTCCTTAATCTCTCGCGAGCGTATATCTGATGTTTAAACCTTAAACGCGCGAGTTTTCACGCCGATATTTATGCGATCTGAAAAGTTTCTCCGCTCGCTGTAACTCTTGCAGCGTGTGGAAAATGACGAGGGAGATTTCTGTCTACCCCCCTCCCCTCCACCACCCCTCTTTTCTCTCTCTCTCTCTCTCTCTCTTACTCTCTCGCTCTGGTCTCTCTGCATTTTATTGCGAACTAGACACTACAAACACGCGCACCATCGCGCGTTATTGATCCCTGAATCTTTTTCAAGTAATTTCGCGCTATTCGCGGCGGATGAGCTCTTCTCATCGCCGGTCATCCGTGCGCTCGCTCCGACTGCCCTCTGACATTCAAGCCGTCGAAAAAATGTAGAACCTTCGCGATAACAGCCGCGGTCACAGCGAGCCATCCTCGTCTGGCGCTGAGAAATTGAGATAGGCGAGCAGCATCGAGCGCCGGAAATCAGCGGCGACTACGAGACGAAACGTCTCTGCTTCTTCAAGATAAACTAATAACAGATAAATCGTTTGCTTACTGCGCGCGCGCGCGTCCTCAGGAGTGTAACTGCGTTCTTCGTCGGTCGCTTCCGGCGGATTAAATCTCCGCCGCGCCGGAGCGCGCGTGATCGTACGTGCGCCCGCAAGTCGAATAATGTTTTTCAAGTATCACGGCCCTAGCGTCCATGTAATATGCAACATTGGAATTGAGGTGGACCGCAGCGAAACGGCGTCGCGGCGGAAATGCATTTCGGACTCCACGTCCGGCGGCGGCCCGCGAAGAGCTCATCTCCCTTGGCCGTGGACAAATGTTAAGCCGCTTTACGGTACGAATCTTATCCCTCCGGGAGACTGATGCGCGCTCCGTGCGCTGGGCTCGGCCGTTTAATAGAAAAAAAAGAGAGAGAGAGAGAGAGAGAGACGGAGGGAGAGGGAGCAAGAGAAAAGGAGACCGCACCGGCGGTCGCCTTTGTTCGCGGACGCCTCGAGCGCACAACGGACCATTTCGTATCAGCGTTCTCGCTCTTCGAGACATTTACACAATACACGATCTCGTCCCAGATCTCGCTCCGCGTCCCCGCTTAACCGACGCTGTTTAATAATATTAACCTCTCCGTATCACGGCGGGCGGGCGGGCTTCGATTGACGTCCATTATCTCGCGTGACTCGCGAGACAAGAAGAAGAAGAAGAAGAAGAAGGAGAAGAAGACGAAAAATAACACCCTTTCGGCCGACATTATCCGGCCCGAGGTATCGTCAGCCTCGCAATTTCCACCCTCTCGTCTTCGGGGCTGATTGCGAGTTCTCGTTGAAGACGGGCCGAGTCGAGACCAGCCGTGGTGGAATTCGCGCCAATCACGGCGTGGAACGGTATTTCGCAAATTACGCAACTTTGCCCGATCGGCCCGTGATATGCTCGGCCGCTCCTCTTCGCGTATCTCACGTTCACCTGCTGGAAACTGACTCCGCTCGCTCGCTCGCTCCCGCTGTCTTATACGAAATTATCATTTAGCGAGAGACGAGAGAGAGAGAGAGAGCGAGGGAGGGCAGGGGGAACGGAGGAGGGACGGAGTGCCCGCGGCGGCGGCCGCTTCCCCGTCGCATCGTTCGAGTAAAAGATCGCGCTACGCGCACGTCACCGACTAAACGTTTTCAAACCCCCGGGCAACTTCAACTAAAGAGCGAGGGGGAAAGGGGAGAGTTGAAATCTCGCTCGGAGTTCTTCGGAGCGCGATGGCGCGGCAACTTTTTCGACAGGGTCAAACACCCGCCACCCCGGGACGATCGCTCTGTTCGCCGATCGGGCCAGACGAACGGGGTATCGTCCGTCCATCCAGCCGCCCGTGCGTCTTCCCCGGCTTCCTAACCTTCAGACAACCCGAAGGGTCGCGTCGTGGCGAGTCCTTCGCTCTTCACGGCGCATCGACCTAATCGAGGCGTGGGATAACGTGAACCTCTTCTCTTCGAGTTACAGCCGATAAAGATAAACTTCGCTCACCGGCCGATAAACCGACGAATCCACAAAAAGTCTCACTCACACACACACACCCACACGTACACACCCCCTCAGACATACACATACATACACACACACTCACATTGTTTCTATCTCTCTCTCTCTCTCTCTCTCTCCCACCCTCGTCGCCGACGCGAGTCGATTATTCATTTTTTATCGAACTCGCGTCTTTCGCCCCTAGACAGCTCACGGATCCTCGCGCTCCCTCGTCGCAGCTCCTCCTCCCCCTCCTCCCCCGGCGTGTTTTATCGCCCGCCCTTATCCGGGAGCTGCGCTGAAACTTTCAGACGCGCGCCGAGCTAAATTCATGCCGCGCCGTCGTACTCCCGCGAGAGACGCGCGAGTACGCGTCCTCGCTACGCCAAACGCCGGGTTCCCCCCCCCCCCGTGAGGGCCATTAATAAAACGTCATTTACTACCAAAACGATACTCGGTTCCTCCGCGAGCGGGTGAACGTGCTCACGGCGGAGTTCCGACGTCGCGATAGACGGTAACGGGAGAGCGAGCGGCGTGCATGATTCAAATTGTACGCCGGTACTCGAAAGTTACCGAGCGGAGCGGAGGGGGGCAGAGGGCGAGGGGAAACGTCCTCGTTGACCGGCAGTACGCCGTCGCGAGCGCCGTCGCCGTCGCAAGCCGACGCGGCTTGCACTCGTCCCTCCGCGGCTGCAGATAGTTTCGTTCGCATGCGGCGCAACACGCGCCGGCCTCGCGGTGGCTTCTTAAGTGTGTGTGTGTGTGTGTGTGTGTGTGTGTGTGTGTGTGTGTGTGTGTGTGTGAAGGCTCCGGTTAGAGCGGGCCGCGTCGCGCGCTGTGTGCAAAGGGAGAAAAAAGTTTCCTAAAATATGGGCGTAAGCGTCACACGCAGCTGCAGGTGCATCGGACTGCGTCGTGCCGCGTCGTGCCGCGCCGCATCGCGTCGCGCCGCGCCGCGCCGCGCCGCGCCGCGCCGCGCGCAGCGCAGCGCGGGAACCGAGCGGAGCCGCGGCGTGCTCGTGGTGGCTCGCTGAAATTCCTTTCGATCTCGCGAGTGTACTTGCGTTATTGATAACGCTGTCGACACGCCGCCGCTGCTAACGGCGTTTCTGCATGTCTCTCTCTTCCCGCGGCTCTCTCTCCCGCTCCCCCACCCCTCTCTCGATCTGTCTATCTCGGAGCGCTCGATAACTGTTGCGAGCGATTTCGCGCGCATCGTAGGTGCACCGAAAACATTATATTGACAAACGCGTCGCGGCGGGCGGAAATATCGCGAGGACTGTAGCGACTGCACTCGGACGCGAGAGATTTTCTAATTTGCGAGGGAGGTCGTTTCACGCGTTCCTCCCGCAGCCCTCCTTCCCTGCTNGTTACGGCTATCTCTTTAGCTCCTTCGACTAATTCTGTGTGTACACATTACCGTTTATATTATCAACGAGATTTCAATATATTGATATATCGATACTGATTGCATCTGAAAAAATCCGAAGAAGCTTCGATAAATATTGATATTAGTAGTGACTTTACCGATTTCAATGACTATGACATATATTATCGAAGACATGGTTCTAATTTGGCGAAAAGCTGTCGGTTATTGTTTATTAAAAAGTTATTAGCAAAAAATTTCATAAGTAAGCCTATTTATCCGACACAGTATACATTAACAAATGTTAAACAGTACATATGGACGTAGGAAGGGCTACTCTACGCCTAAAAAAAATTTTGCCTAACCTAACCTAACTCAACTTATATATCTTTGCATATAGTTAGGTGTTGTTGAAAAGATCCTCTTAAAACCCACAACGCCCAACTATGTGTAAAGATATATAAGTTGGACTAGGTTAAATGAGGTTAGGTTGGATTTTTAGGGTTTCGTCCCTTCTTCCTTAATTTATACTGTTTAACATTTTCTAATGTACACCGGTATCGGAAAAGTAAGCTCTATTTATGAAACCTTTTTTGTTGATAACTTTTTACTAAACATTGAGCGATGAAACGTTTTGCAAGTTAATCATGGTCATGTCCTTGATGTAT